CAGACTGACCTGAAGTCTGCCTGTCTGGGGAAAAAGACAGACTTAAATGAAATTTTCAGGAAATAAAATCTTTACACAAATCTTAAAATCTTTAAGTTTTCTGTCTGCCGGACCGGTTCTGGAGGGCAGCTGCTGTGGTCCTTATTATCATCAAGCTGCTAACGGAACCTGCTAACAAGACCATGCCGCTAACAGAACCATGGTGCCAAGAGAAACCTCACTGCTAACAGTATCATGCTGCTAACTGGACCATGTTGCTAAGATAACCTCGTTGTCATCAGAACCACTCCTCCAATAGGACCATGCTGCTGCAGCTTTATATCTTTTTCACTTTTGGCGCCTTGTTTTTGTATTTTTGCTGCATGCTTTGGAACTTGGCGAGTCGAGATGATTCTTCTCTTCATCGGCATTTCATTGTACTATTGATCTTGTGTTGATTTTGCACATGACAAATAAACCAAACCTGAACTTGAACTCTGCTTTTACAACTGTTTTTAACTTGGAGAAGGCATTTCACCATTGATAGGATCTGGTGTTTAATGTTGAACCCAAGTGCAGGCAGATGCATGAGGACTCCGGAGTAAAACTTAACAATGATTTATTAAACCAAAAACAAAAGTGCTGACAGGGCAGCAAAAAAACTTACGTGTGACAAAAGGGAAAGACCAGATCGTGGACACCATGGACAGAGTAGTGAACGATTGCTAGAATAATGTCCGGATGCCAAGGGAGTGAAAATACATCAAATAAATATTGAATTCTAATGAGACAAGTGCGAAACACCTGCAGCGATTAGGACTGGGGACAGGTGTGTGAGGAGCACAAGAAGAAAAGCACAGAGAGGTGCAGACAGACAGGGTGCACTGTGGGGGGTGCTCTATGAGTATGGGATTGGGGGTCCATTGCTACAAGCCCGTCCTGATGCAAGTGGTTCAAGAGTTTGGTTCGGATTAAGCTGGACCCCTTGAGGGTGGGAGTTGGACTCCACCAGGGGTGCTCGTCATCGCAGATTCTGCTTTTAACGTTTTTGCACAGAATTTCTCGGTGCAGCCAGAGGGAGGAGGGAGTCCATCTCTGCTATTTGCAGATGATGTGGTCCTGTTGGTGTCATCATGCCGTCATCTTCAGCTCTCACTGGAGTGGCTTGCAGCTGACTGTGAAGCAGCTGGGATGTGGATCAGCACCTTCACATCTGAGGCCGTGGTCCTCTGTCAGAAATGGGTGGATTGTCCTCTCGGTGTTGGAGAGAGGTTCTGCCTCATGTGGAGGAGTTCAAGTATCTCTGGGTTTTGCTCACAAGTGAGGGAAGAATGGAGTGTGAGATAGACAGACAAAATCAGTGCAGCTTCTGCTGTATTGTGGACTCTGTGCCGGTCCATTGTGGTGAAGAGGGAGCTGAACTGTAAGGAGAAGGCTGGTTCTTGTACGTTCCTACCCTCACCTTTGATCACAAACTTTGGGTAGTGACCGAAACAACAAAATCACAGATACAGGAGGTCTATAGGAGTGTTTTTCTGCAGGATAGCTGGACTCTTCCTTAAAGATGGGGCGAGAAGTTCAGTTTTCTGGGGAGAAGGAGGGGCGGTGATGGATGGATGACTTTAGAAGCCAATCAAATGCAAGGTGGTCGATACAGATAATCAACCTTAGCCAACACTAAGATGGCTTGAAGTCAGTGGGTTTTACTTATATTAAGCTAATGTTTGATGTGGTAGTAGCCGAGGGTCATTCACAACACAAACTCCAAGAACTAACACATCATACAAATTTATGTGATATCACAATATTGCACATTGAAGGAACACTCTTTAGTTCTTCCAAACAGTCTTGAACGTGGTTCTGAACAGCTTGTGTGTAACTGAACGTGTTTTATGTCTTTCAGATAAACCAGATGTGGGAAACATCAGTTTTCTTCCTGCATTGCTCTAACAATCATTTGCAAATTATGGCAGAGTTGAAATTCTGCTTGGCCAACTTCCTACAATTAAATCAGGCAGTGATATCCTGTTTGTGGTGTCAGATCTGCTGCGGAGTGTGGACGAGAGATGATCTGTTTATGTTCTGGAGAGCCTGGAGAAGCATGAGGTCAATGTCCTGGGAGCACTCTAAACCCTGAGAGTGTCATCAAAAAGTTTCTTCTTTAAATTTATCTTTTTACAGTTACTAACCTGTTGCTCAAAGGCAGTGTTGTGCAATGCTTTGTGGTCTAACTTTTCCATGCCTACTTCTGGATTGTTGTAATACGCTTTAGTCTAAACAGTGTTCATTTCAACCTCTGTTTCAGCTGCTCTGCAGCCAATCAGACACACCACAACATAGCACGTCATTACCACAACGTACAATACCCCAAAAAACTAATTTACAAATATGTTTATATATAATAGTCTATATAAAATCAGGTGCAAAGGACCAAAACAAAATATTAACGCCATCCCGAGATAGCTAAATACCTATTTGGGGGTGTGGCGCCTGATTTTACATGTGCATTATTAACTGTAAAAGGTCTATTAGTAACTGTAAAATGTCAATTAGTAACTGTAAAAGGTAAATTAGTAACTGTAAAAGGTCAATTAGTAACTGTAAAATATCAATTAGTAACTGTAAAAGGTCAATTAGTAACTGTAAAGGTCAGTTTGTAACTTTCAAAGTCAATTAGCATCTGTAAAAGGTCAGTTTGTAACTTTCAAAAAGTCAATTAGTAACTGCAAAAGGTAAATTAGTAACTGTAAAAGGTCAATTAATAATTGTAAAGGTCAGTTTGTAACTTTCAAAAGGTAAATTAGCAACTGTAAAAGGTCAATTAATAATTGTAAAGGTCAGTTTCTAACTTTCAAAGTCAATTAGCATCTGTAAAAGGTCAATTTGTAACTGTAAAAGGTCAATTTGTATCTTTAAAAAGATCAATCAGCAGCTGTAAAA